ATATGTGTAAATGGATCTGGAAACAAATGAAACAAATCTCCAGTTAATAAACACAAAATTGTGTTTCTATTCCTCCGCTGAAATCATCAATGACTAAGTACCAAGGTCTCATCAGAAAGAGCTAGTTCTGCACAATCTCCCTTACAAAGATAAAACCCTTTTATACCTTGAATGCAGAAGCATTGCTAAATCGTCCAAAGTCCCTAAATAAACAACTTGGCACATACATTACAGGCCAGGGCTGATGGGCGGACAATTAGRAAAGAGAGAGCTAGTGTAAGGTTGCTGCCTACTAATTGCAATCATCACAGTAGTTTAAGCTATAGACCTTCAAATCACTGTAGACCACAAGGATGCACATCAGCTGCATTTTAACTGAGTAACAGCACCTGTATAAGATGTACTGGTACTTCCAGTACCTTCCAAAATGAAAAACTTGTATTGGCTAAAGAGGGTTATGATCATCAGTCCTAGGAAGMAGTGTGAAACTGTAGCGCAGTTTTTCTTCACTCTATGGGTCGTGCAAGAAGAGGGAAGTAGGAACTGAAGACTTTCCACTCAGTCTCCCTCATGTTTATACCTTTTTACAGGGATCTAATACATTATATTTCAAAGGTCCAGGAAAGCCATGTTCACTCCCAGGCCTCATTCTGGGCTGAGCAAAATGCAGCAGTGACATTTCACAGAGCTGAGCCTCAAGGCTTGCAGCTTGTAGTGATTTCTCTGGCAAAATTTCACTATCATTTTCTGCAAGTGACTGTAATGAGCAATCTTTTTATCTGTGCTACCAAAACTGCTCTTCTTTTGAGTGCATATAATTTCTGTTAGTATTAATGGGAATGTCATGCACACACATAGGAGGCTAGAATGGGCCCTGAAGTGTTCTAACTGTAATATTAATTTCTTCATGTGGGCGACTTTGTCCTCATGACAATAATAAAGCTATGGTGATTTATAAAAAGCAAAAGGTCTCTTGAAGGTTGGTAGATGCTATTATTCTAAACCATTAGCTTTGTGAATTTCCATTCAAATGCCTAAAAACTGGTAGCTGGTATATACATGTGCAAGATTGTAAATTACAAGCTGAAAATACTTTAAAATGGGCCTTAAAAATGTTTAACAAGCAAAAGACACAAAACCAATCAGAGATGTGCTGTTTAGTTATCAAAGAAAGTCATCATTTTGCAAGACTCCACCATTTATCATTATCTAAAGAATTCTGCTTTTGCAAAGCGTTTTAGTCGATTAGCTAAGTACTAGCATAACTAAAGTGGAAACCACTACATACTACATACTTGCAGGTATAGGAGTTTAACATCCATGCAGTGAAAATCCCCACAACCATAACCTTGAAAAGAAAAAACTCACAAATTTAGAGGGGCTCAACATAACCAGTATACTCCAAGATAAGCAGATGCATTCTGAATCTGTCCAAAATTATTGCTTAATTCTGTACTTTGAGGTGCCATGCTATGAAAGACAGTCTTTTAAATGAGATTACCAAAGTTTATAGGCATTCTTTTATGCTAAATACTTAAAAATTTCTTACAGGATCATCTATATTTAAAAAAATACAGAAGCATCCATTGTTATGACAGGAAACCCAACTGTTCTCGTAACTCAGTACTGTTCAGTCTGCAAGCAAACTTCCAAGTTGTTGAAAGAAATTTTCCACTGTTTCCCATTTGTTATGCACTAACCATTCGAAAAAAAATTACTGCACATGTAACAATTTTACATTTCACCCAAAACGTAATACAAATCCTGGAAGATAACAGGCTTACAGATAAATTAAAAATGGAATAAAATTTATCATGGATTTAACAGGGTTATAGGAGGCAAAGAAAACCTTGCAGGTATTTCTATTAAGATAATTTATTTTCCAGATAAAGAAAATGCAATGAATCTTGTTTGATCTACATTTATTTTGATACCACAGAGAATTCCTTATTGAATTGGAGATGATAAGGACAATGGTAAGAAACTGGTTAAAGACTGAACAATGGCGATTTATGCTCTAAACAAATAGGCTGGAGACTGGAGTTCCTCACTTGGCAGTCCTGGGGTCTCATTCCTCATCTTGCAGAAGCAGATAGAAAACCTCAGCACAGGGGAGAAGCTGAATCTCATGATCTCAGACTGGGATAGCGASAGTGGGTGACATTTAGCAGTGCAAATTTCAAGGCTATGCTCTGAGGTAGGATTACTAAGAGCATATGCTCTACACAAGGAGAGCAAGAGCTGAAAAGAAGCCAGCCTTGAATATTAGTCAAATGCTGGCCAGCTATGAATTGCTAGCATGACGCAGTTAAGAAAAAGGCAAAAGCAACACAGGCTGTAGAACGTGAAGCATTTCCAGAAGAGGTGGAGAAGGTAATGATTTTGTAGAAACCTCACAACAGCATGTGCCAAGTAAAGTGCACAAGTAAGGCTATACGTGCTTAAAAGAAGATTCACCTAAGCGGCAATGGATGCAAAGAGGGTTACAAAAGAAATGAGGAGAAAAAAAAAAGAAATGAAGAGGCCATGGTTATTTTTTGCCTACTGAAATGTCAGCTGAGTGAGGGAAGACTTTTTTCTATAAATACATCAGGGCCATACTAATGAGGGGAGGAAAGAACAAAGTTAGGAAGAAAGAGATAGGTATAATCAGGACATGAACCAATTCAACCTTGAAATCAGAAAAAAAAAAATCATCGGAAGAAAGCATCCTCAGTTAGAAATAGTACGGCAAAGCCTTGTGATCTTAAGACAGAGAAGTTTACCTTGTGAATCTTTATTACAGATTGTAGCAGGTTCTGTCCTACCAGGACATGATGATCCAGAAGTTTTAGCTGCATAGAAGCTTAACAGTGGGAAGGAAGAGGAACTACTAAGSGATTACCCAAATCCTGCTCTTCTGGAGCACGCAGTTGTGCATGAACTAAACTATATACATAGATAGCACACCAAGAATCTAGGACATTGAWCTCTTCTACTAACAGAGCTGCTGGCACAGCCCTCAATATTGCTCCGGCTCAGCAGAAYAGCAACAGTGGTGTCAGATGACAGACAAAACGGCAAACTTCCAAAGAGAGATAGGCATGCATTGCAGCATTTGTGCAATAAGTCACGAAGGCTGCAAATCAACCAGAAATCCTCTGAAATGAAGCTCTTTAGAAATCTAAAATCACTGTCACGGGCTGAGGATGTAGGAAGAGAAGTCATTCATTTGGGCTGTATTTCACAATCCTCTGCTATCAAACTTGTCTTGTACTTTCCCCTCTCCTAATTGACACTGCAAATGTACCTTCCAGATGGCTATTGCCAGGCATGTAGCATACTGTACCACTTCTACAATACCTGTGGGAAAAAATTAATTAGATCTAAGAAATTTTTGCCTCCCTTCTCAACTCTGCCACAATTCCAGTGTGTGGCCACAGGCAAAACAGTTTATTCTCTTTACATTTGTTTTCAAAAAACAAGGAAAATACTTTTCTCTAAAATCATTTATACTTTTTTTTGTCAGTCTAGATAAGAAGATCTCAGTAAAGGTATTTTAATACACCTTTGTACAGTTTATACCAAAATAAATAAATAAATATCAGCTGTGGGTCAGCATTATATAAACAACAAACAAAAATGATCTTTACTGATGATATTGTTTAGTACATATGCACAGAAATGGTAGAATTATTTAAGGTAATTTTTAAATTTAATCATAAAATTATAACAATGGATAAAAATAGGAATGTTGAGCTAATTAGGGCAAGCAGAGTCTATTAAGTAGAATAACTGTTCAGCTGTCCAAACACAGAGCAGAAAATTTCTTGTTTACTTATCACAAAACACAATGGCCACTATGATCCTAGCTGCAATCAAATACATAATTGAAAATGAAGTAAATCAGAGAAATCAAAACCAAAACACAGGGGCAGACCTCCTCACCACCGACTTCAACGAAATTAACTGCATGAATATTCCAGCTCGCTCCAGCAATTCAAAAACTAACCATTACTACTTTGTATAGCCTCACATTGCTGATGGGATCTTTCCCATAAACTAGAAAGCTGTGCACAATCACCCAAATTAGTCCAACACACACCCAGTATTTTTGGCATTTTGGGGTATATAAAAATTGGTTGCACATTGTTACCCTCATATTTACATAAAGCATAACAATGAAGTCAGTAGCTGGGTTAGCATCAGTTCATCTGCATGATATCCGTCTGCATCACTGCATTTTAGTTTGTTCCAATACATCTTAAATCACAAAATSATGTAACTGGGAACAGACTGGCTACAGTTTCACCTCTACTTACTGTTCTATTTATGAAGACTGATGACAAAAAAAAAAAAAATTGTAACAGGAAAAGAAGAAAAACAGTATGAAACGCATGTACAATAATATGAAACAATTATGTGTCACAAAATGTAACCACTTGGAAATTCAGACTGTCAAGAAACTGGACATTTAATTATTATAATCATTCTAAACAAGAGCTAATTGAAAGTGAAGATTCATTTTCATCTTGAATTTTGCTCATGAATTTTAAGTATGTTACCTATTAGGATATAACCAAAGCTATGAAAATCCAAACAAATTATCCCCTCTTCCAGCAAGCCTTCTTTATGCAATGTAAGCATGGTCTCCTTTTTTTTGAGGCATCTCAATGAATATTTCTAGCTAATGGCTAAATTATTTTCCATATCTAGATTCAAAGAGGCAAGGAATATGTATATACTTCGCTATTCCCCTAGAGAATGGATTTATTTTAGGACAAGAAAATCTATGTCTACTTCCAAATTTTGTCTCTTCCTCATGCTTCCCTGCCATTACCTATGAAAGTAGAAGTTAAAATACCTAGAACTACCTAAGGAAACAAATATAATTGCACAGATATAAACAAAATATGCCTTACAAATATGGTTACTAATTTATAAGTGCCATCCTTTCACTTTCATACAATCTTGATATTTACTAAATCACAGTTGAAAATACACTAAGACATCATTTACTAACATTATCCCACTGACACCCTTAGCTTGAGGATCAGCTTTCTATTATTACGTTGTACCATATGTGAAAAGTTCCTCAGACAAATCCATACTGGAAGCAACATAACCATTTTCTCTTTAGGACCTCCTGGGTTACTTCAATGATCTAAACTCATTTAAAGCAATTTTACAGTTCTTAGCATCCCAAACAATGTTCTATTCTTGATGCACCACAGAAGTCCAGGTGTGTGTTTTCAAGAACWGCTGCTAGGTGTCAGAATCCAATTGGGAATCCAATGTGCATTTCAGGAAGAAACAAATCTCATTGCTTTTCCTTCTGAAATCAAACACGTATTATTCCGTATAGCAAAATGTAGGTTTGAGAACTACAGCCACAGTTGSATGTAGAAGCGTGGTCCTTTTAGGTCACTAATTTTGCAAGTCCAAAGGAATAAGTCTCTGTCATTGTCACAAAAAGGGATCTCTGTATAACAGCCAAGCAACATGATTGCACACGCCACTGTTCCAGTAGGGACTCAGGGGGTTATTTTTTGCTACCGTGTTACCTGAAAAAGAAAAAGAGGGTTACTTGCACAGAAGTGATCAAAGAATGATAGAATATGCTTTGATGCCATGAAGAAACTGTACATGAGAACACATAGTGAATAAACATGCTCTGGCCATAACGATATGCTCCATATAACTCCCACAGTATCTATGTGGAAAACATTGACTCTGCTGAGCAGAGAAAGATATGACAGTTTACTATYGAGTTGCTATCAGTATCTCATGGTAATCTCTGCCAGTTTTATTTTGCTTAGCACATTTTCAACACCAGTGTCCACAACATCAACACACAACTTACATCCCAAAGGATTATTTGTGCAAATTGCTACCCATTCCCAAGGGAATGCCCTTCATGAGAGGTAGCTAGGGATCAGACAGAGCAGTCAGCAGAGTTGATGGATTGTTCTTGCAACACCAGCCACTCCTGGATATCGCTTCCTCCAGGGAATCCAGTGGTCTTTTCCCATTATAACTATATGCACACCCAGTCAGGTGCTTCAGGGGTATGCAGGTCTTAATGCACATAAACGCTGCTATGCAAGTGCAGTGGTGAGGAAAGGCTCATGTCAAGCACCCTGTCCCAGAAATGAATGAGAACGGGCAGCTCACTGTGAGGAAATTCTTGTCAGCTGTGCCCTGTGGTGCCAGCACATGCTACAATGTTAAACACAGGCCTGGTACTGAAAACTATTTATTTCTCTTCATGAGATAGCTTGAGTAAGTGCAGAGCTCTTCAGTTTTTCACGTGTTTAACTGTCAGCCTCAGTTACTATAACTACTCATTTAAATACTAAGAAATGCCAGGACTCTCCCAAGCTTCATATACTTCAGGTTACTAAAATATTTTCAGAAAATGAAAAGATAGAAACCTTGAAGTGATTAAATGGCAGTCCATTTCCTATTATCAGCCTATGAAGCTCACTGTCCAAACTTGCCCTGATTCCAAGGGGCTAGGTAAGCCTTATAACATTGATTAGAAATTTAAATAGTAAGAAAATCATCTTTGCTACATAGCATGGAAAAAAAAAAGGAATGCATCTGAATTCTGGCTTAAGACAACTGCTGAATTGAGAGAATCTCATGATGGGTACATTTGCTATAATTATACATAAGGTTTTTGCTGTCTTTTTCTCATTTAAGTATCCCAGTACCGAGAAAGACAGGCTGCTGTACTGGTTGTACTACTAGTCATAATCAGATAGGACAGTTCTATTTGTGCTTAATATGCATTTTGTTGACAGAATTAGACAAATTTTCCRCTCATTTTTAATCACAAAATATGCTATACCATGCTTTAGTTCTCTCTATCACAATGTGATTGTTGTAAAATTAACCTATTTTCTTTCCCGTTCAATCTTGTACAAGCCACATGCTACTGTTCAGAATCTGGGGTTATCATTACTCATTATATTTATCCAATACCCCTATATCTTGATTGGAAGAAAAAAGCACCCAAAACATAAGACATGTACAATATCTATAAAAGAAATACAGATGCAGAGACAGATTCTGTGACCCAGCATTTACCCAGTAAGACAATATCTACATGCAAGCTTTGTCATCTGGGTTTTCCTTAAGCTACAGGAGAGAGAAATCAGCTTTCCTTGGGTGGTGGTTTTTTTTTTTTTGTTTGTTTTTTTTTTTTTTTTTTTTTTTTTTTTTTTTTTTTTTTTTTAAGACAAACACAGCACACTCTATAATCAACCGTTTCTCTCCATGTGACTCTGGAGAATTCTAAACAATTCAGCTTAGGAAGAAAAGTGCCTGCAACTGGTCATAATGACTGCCACCCACAAAACCTTGGATAATTCAAGTCCTTTTACTTGGACTAATAAAGATGACAAACATTGTGATTTCAGACTGATTCTCAAGAGGTACAACATTAAAAGCYGGCCACTTGAGTACAAAGATCTGGGCATAGTATGAGACAAGTCCTCAGCTTTTGGAAATGTCACTACTACTGAGAAAATAGTTACATTAAATCCCAACCTCTAAATTAACTCTCCTGGGTTATACAAAGGCAAATGCATAGACAAAGCCATAAAGGGTCAAAATCAAATCACTTAAAAGCAGAACATGAAAGTAGTGACTTGCCAGAAGCATCCACATTAAAATACAAACAACAAACAATGGAAGAATTTATGAGAACAACTAAGTAAAAAGGGGCTGAAACAACTTTTAAAGGGATATTTCCTTTAAGGAAATCTTCTACTCTCTAATATAGTCAATCACTAGCTAAAGTTTAGGACTTTCTCATGTCATTTCAGTGCAAGGTTAAACCACTCAGTCATTCGTATTTGTTTGCAGCATCCCAGGTCGACAGTCAGGATTAGGATCTCTTYGTGCTGATGCTAAACACATATGCAAGAAAAGACAGCCCAGCCATAAAGAACTGGAAGGACAAAAGGGTACTGAAAGGAAACAAAACCACGAGAGAAAAAGCAAATAGTTCTCATACGTGTTATACAGTAAAATGTCTCATATTCAAGTATGAGTGCTGGCTGTTTTCTTACCCTGACAATTAAAAGCCATTCAAAGCAATCTMCTAATCAGTGCTAAATGCATTTCTCCAGGTCCCAGAAAAGCAGAGGAAGAGTTTAAAGCAGTAACATTTGCACTCAGACTGCCAAACTTTGCCCTCTCTTAGACCCACTGGATTTGAAGAATGTGCACAGGTATAATTGGAGGTAKGATGATTTGTTCCACTCTTATAAAGACATTCCTGAACTCATCAGAATGTATTATCATATTCTGTGTTTAGGTGGTTGTATTTTATGTCATGGGTAATAAAACAAATGACCCATGTCAAAACTGCCCTTCTRTTAGTAAACTTCCATTGACTAAGGCTGCTTCTTTGCACTTCTTTATGAGCAAGACTTGTGAACACTGGCAATATGACTCATAGGGTCAATTGACCTCAGTGAGCTAAAGGCAACTAACTAATCTTAGGAAGGAAAAGACAGCTACATGACTGAGCACTTGACATCTCAGGCCTTCCGTTGTCAATGCCAACATAAAGTTCTTTGCTCTACCCTTTATCCCTCTAGTGATTATTATTAGGAATATTTAAACCTTGCTTATTCTTTCCCAGTAAAGACTTTTTTTTCTGTAAAGTACTGCTCTTTTCTGGTATGTCCATAAATGAAATTGTCATAATCATTACAGGGAACTCCTACKTCACCTGTCATATGCATTTGTTTGTCATTACCACTCTATTTACCTATACATAAGTAGTTGAAGTCATTGTCTGCGGAAAATTTTCAAAGGCTGAGGGCAATCTATGCTTTGCAATAGCTGATTGCCAGTCACTCGCACTGATTTTAGAGTAGTATATTCTGTGCGGGTCAACTTTTAGCTGTAGGCACAAGAAGTACAGCTGAGGCACTCTACAGACTACCTCTCTAGTATTTGATAATGTACTGCAATGATTTGTAACAATTCTCCTGATCTTAAAAACAGGAATAGGGCTCTTCAGACTCTGGCTTTTTTGGTCAGGTTCCTCCACTGAGCCTATCACCATGTAATATTTGTGTGGCTGGCTGTRGATCATCAACATCAAACCATAGCTGTTCAAATTATGCAATTTTGTCTTTCATACATGATTTAGAACAATCTTCACTCCTTAGAACACTTATTATTAAACAGCATTCGGTGTCAGTAYTTGCTTATTAACTCAGAAGGTAACCTAATCAACAACATTCATTCCCAGCTAGCAGAGGTTATATACYGAAAAGCTAAGCATATGTCTTTGATTGCTATTGCATGCTGAAGACTCTTGTTTTATGATATATTTAGATATGCAGTTCACTATGACTTGCTGAACTTCAATGCACTGAGCTCATTTTAAACTGTGAAGCAAACAGAGGACATAATATTTTCTTTCTGCTGGCCATTAAGAAACTGGACTGCACAGCAAGTTTCTTGCAAAAACAGGCTGTCTATAAGATGTCCTGTAATTAGAAATGATCTGAACCTCTGATTTCCAGTGGTGCAGAGTTCTGTAGTTCCTCCTGATAGCAGTTCAGATTCTCAGCAACAAGATGAGCCAGGCTCCTTTTCCTAATAATTAAAAGGCTTTCCGGCACAGATATTTAAATTCTGGTCAGCCCTTGTAAAGACCTTGGAACCCTGTATTCTCTTTCCAAATTAAGGAAATGGATCCTGGAACATGTTAACTCTATCATTGGTCACAGCAGAAGGTTTCTGTGCTCACTGAAGACAGAATCGAGTTTTAACTCGGTTACTGAGCCCAGCCAACTGAATTTAGTCAGCTCATGACACCAAATCGCTATGGAAGGAGGCACAAGCAAGAAAGCTTGGCAATCAGTGTCTGGGACTCAGAGAATTCTCCTTTCTTTCCTCCTAGATAGGTGCAACTCAGAAACTTGAGGTCAAAGCTCTAGGAAGCAGGGGTCTGCACTCCAGAAGTGCAAGACCCAAACACACAAGACAAACTGAGGGCTGAGCTAGCCAAGAGCTGCTCAGGATTGTATCTTATCCCAGTGTAAACACAGAACTGGAGGACAGACAGACCCAAATTGCTGCCTTTGGTTCTTCCTCCTTGACTCCATGACCTGCTAATTTAATCAAGTGGCTACTGACCCAGCATTTTCCTCCCTGAGGACCATTGCACTAATCACTGCTTTCCAAAACACTAAGTCCAGTGCTGGTGCTCACACCAGCAGGTGCAATGCAATAAGCAAGGACTGCCAGCAGATCTCAGTACTTGCCTTTGTGGTTTTGACTTTATTTCCACTGCTGCAAGACCAACCTGAATAGTCTGGTAGCACTTTACAGTCCTCTCCATCCAAACAGGGGTTCATATGACACCACCACTTCTGTAGGACGATGGAAGCTAGAAAGAGAAATAGAAAAGAGAAACAGAATACAATCTTTTATTATTGTTGGTGTTGATTTCAGAAAGGAGGCTGTTGTGCTATGTTTAGCTGTTTGATTGCAAAAGATAAAACCAAAGTTACCATTAYGACATTTACTACCTTTTGATCATAATGATCCTGTTTGAGCTTAAGAAGATGTTGCTAAAAGCCTGACCAGTACACAGAAGGGTAAACGACCTTGGTAAAGACAGGCAGGCACCTCCAGAGAGTGATTCAACTCAAACATGAATGGACCTCTGGAAGTGTCTTTCTGCCTCCACTGACTACAGAGGTGACTTGCCTCCTTCATTTCCATGCTTTAGGTAAATACCTGCTGGAAGGTGATATGAATCTACAGCCTGTGGTTTAACTTGGATATGCATGCGCAAGGCTGGATGAAGGAATGTCACTTTTTTCTCTTCACTGGGTAAGAAAATAGAATTGCACAGAGACATGAGCATGTGAGGTCTGTCGGAGAAGAGTGCAAAAAAAAAATTAAAGAATAATCCATCTGAAAAGCATATGGATTATTAACTAAAAGTCTATCTGCAGTTACATTGCATGTTCTGCAATACATTTTGGAAGATTAAAACAGTATATTTTCACTGTGCCAATTCATYAATTTTCTCCTCTTAAGACAACTTCCCTTAATAAGACCACTTTTGTTATTTTTATAAATTAGTCATGACTATGTAATACTGTTGACAACAATTCAGCACCCTGACCCAAGTGGACTACATGAAAATAAGCTACATCAGACAATGAATCAAATACATCATCTCCAGAAATACTATCTTACCTAGAAAGAAGCACAGATGTTCATGGAAAACATTGTGGAGTCAACCTACAACTCAGACAAGATCCACAAGCTCTTCAATATCTTATTTGTTACCACAAGCAGAACAGTGATATTGCCCCATGCCATCTTTCTGCCTCAGCATTAATGCTTTCAATATCTCAGGCATTATGGGTCCCTACTTCTGTGTGTGCCTGTGTGGATTTCTTTGTGTTTCACATTAACAAAATAATTCACTTTAGTCTGGACAAACATAGATTTCTACACTCTAAATTAAACTTTATTTTTAGATTAAACTGTATACATTTTCAGTACACCATTCTATTGTAGATTTCCTTTTCTTCCTTGAATAGCAAGGCAACAATAGCATCTTTTTGAATTCTCTAGTATTCTAAAATACATTTAAAAACAGTGGGAGRGAAATCTTTTCTGCTATTGCTTCTTTTATCTGTTTGATATGTACTGATTTTTTGTTTTCTTGTTTCCCTGCTMTCTCTCACTTCAAACTGGAACCCAGATGGGCTTTCAGCCAAAATTGTCCTTTTACTTCATTACAGTTCTTTGGCTCTATAAAAAGATCTTAACATTTATTCCCTATCTGAATGCTTCCTCTGTAAATATTCTAAAACTGATAGAAATGCCTGGGTGGAAGATGATTTGGCTAGTGATAATTTACTTAGAGATGCATTAAATGCACTTAGCTAGGATAGCTTCACTACAGACAAAACTTACTAACACTTTATCTTCTTGGCAATAGCTGTGAGCCAGGCTCGAGGTACTTAGGCAAGGATGTTTGTTTCCATAAACAAAGTGGGCAAAAAAATATAATCTCATAATAATTACTTTAAATGTAAATGTTTGTTCAGTGCTGACATAAGATTGAATTGACCTTTCCTAAGGAAAATTTTCTATAGCTGCAGTTGAAGAGTACTGAAGGCAGACTTTGCAGGCTGCTACTATGTCTTCTCAGCATATTTAAATACGTCCTTTCATAGACTCTGCTTTTTTTCTGAGCTTAGTGGCTCAATTTATCTACAGCAAAGCGTCAGGTTGGCCTGTGTCTGGAGGCTCAAAAAAAAAAAACTTGTCAATAGCTTTTAGAACTTAGCTGAAATACAAAAATTACAATTGCWTGTTGTCTGCATACAAAATGCAATTAGCTAAGTGAGAGGAAATTAATGTGTGTTGTTATGAGCAAAGGATAAAAAAAAAATACCTTGACCCAGAAAGTTATTGCCCMATACCACTGTCCAGGCTATGACGAGTGATTATCCCATGCTTGCGTGACAATGCTCTGGAAGAACCCTGCCTGTAGTAAACCGATTCCAGCTTCTCATCCTTCTTTCTAAATGAACTCTTTTGACTTCTGCTACTACCAATAATTAAAGTTTCCAGGATGAAAGACACTGTAGAAATATAAAGTACTCCATGACAGCCCTACAAACACAGGAAGTATTATAACATGGATTAGAACCAATTTCTGTATACAAGGCACTTAAGACTTTAACTTGAGACATTTTCAAGATATAGCATTTGTTTTAACATTTTAACAGTTTTAACAGTTTAACAGTTTTAACATTTGTTTCTGTAGCACTTTCAACCTTTTCTTTGCAACTTAACTGGGTATCTATTACCTATCAAATAAAAATACTTAGTTCCCTCCTCCTCACAGTAATTAGAAAAACCTTGCATATCTTGCATATATTCTGTTGCAGTCTGCAACAGAATGGCAAGCACAATTTATCACAATTTATCTAGACTTTGCCCAAATCTGTGGTGCCTCATACATTCTCGGAGAACTTATTTCTCACACTCGACATAGTTTCTTACAGAATATCTAGACTCCAGGGACAGCAATGTGCCTAAAGGAAAGTTAAAATCAACTCATGGTTTCCTGGTCTGCCAAAGGGAAAACAGAAATCAGATCTTAACTTAAAAAGAGCAAGCAAAAGCAGACTTCTGTAAAATCATCATGCAGATCTCAATAAAAGTAATTGTAATTTTGTAATTATATAGTTACTTTTTGGTCAAGAAGTGAAAACTTAACCACATTCAAAGATGCTTTAAATGCTCCCACCCTTCATAAAACACAAAATACTATCCCGTTGCTCTGCTTTGGTGGCCTCTTGGTTGCTCTTCAAAATAMCTGGAACATGGAAACCCTGAAAAGTTCACAGGCAATGTAGAAATAGAGGAGACTGATTTGCCATTTATATCCCTCCCACAGAGCTGTTTTCCTCATGAGTACTTATGGAAGAGGACACCATGCAAACAGGTCATGCCTATAGAATCACATCTGCCATAAAACCATTAAGCACTAGGCTATTTCCAGGCAAGATTTGCAACTATAAACCTTCGCTGTGTCAATAACCTGTCCATTGCAGCCCAACAATTCCCCTTTCCCCAGCAAGTTGCACCTCAAGCCTGCTTGGGTAATGCTGTGTCACACATTCCCACGTGTGAGAAAGCACCGTTTAAAGTAAGAGGCAGAACCATCTCTATGGATGTGACCAAGAACTGAGGAACCCGACAGAAGGGGTGGGTGGTAATAACCAGACATGTACTTAATGAGTGCTACTTGGTTTTCTGCTTTTGTCTCGCCACACTTTTATGACATGGAAACAGTCTGAGGTAGGAATTACAGGTCCTGCCGTATGCATGACATGCATGATCAATAGGCACAGAGATGATGTGTGACCTCAGGTAAATGAGGTTCTATTGGATAAGGTCTGAAGTGCAAAGGAAATAGTTTACAAGATYCCTCCAAGCCAACTTCTCTATTTAACCTTTTCTTTCAGTTACAGTAATAATTCTGTGCTCCTGGTGAGTCTTTCCCTTTGATTTCCAGTTACAAATGAGCAAAAAAATGGGTAAATCGAATAGGCCTGAATTGAGTAAAAAGCTGTTGGAAAATAAAAATTAAATGCCTAAATCAGACTGAAATAAGCAATTTAAGACATTTTTTAACAAACTTTTTGGTTTCTGCAGTGGAGAAGCTTACTGAAAGATATGCACAGAGTGGGAGAAAAAACATGTAATCCTGAGGCTGAGGAAAGACAGACATACCAAGGAAAGTCCCAGATGCTTGCAAAAATAAGTAAAGCCTGTTAAAGCATCATCCTATGAGCGGAAAGGGATCAAAGACTTCTGCTTTAGAGACCAAAATCTTGCATTTGTAATATTTTGTCACGTTCCATTTCAACCATACTCGAAGGAAAAACAGCTATTACATTTTTATAGCAACTATTTGCATTGACAAAATAAATTAGGCTTGTATAGCATCATGCATTTATATGATTCCATCATGGAACGACAGTGTCACCTTTGTAATGCTTAAGCAAGCTTAAAATAACACCTGACTTTTATTATATATCATATGTAAAAGTATTACTGTTGCTTGACATGTCCTTAAAAATACAGAAGATGCTTTTGATCTGACAAGTGCTTAACAAATTGCACAGTTAAAATTGATTGTGGTTCTAAATTACAAGGTGTGAAAAGTTTAAACATGCAGAAAAACAATTCTTAAATAATTTTTTGCATGTATTTAGAGATCTATGTCTAGAACAAAGTATCTCGGAAAGTTAGACTAAAAATTCGATTTTGAAACTTCTGTTCTTGTGAAGGTCACAATTTTGTGTGAAAAACTACAACAGAAATATCTTACTTATGAATTAACAAAATAGAGGAACTATTAACTTCTATGCCAATATTAATTAATAAGTGAGCTACTCAATTTTTCTGCTTCGCTTCAATTTAAATGTAAATTTTACAGTTTCTTCTATATTAATAACTTCATAATGCTTGCTTACAAGTAAGTGAAAGAAGACTTTATTAGACATTTTCTAAGATGAAAAAGAAAATCTGAGTATTAACTCTATTTATGAGATAGCAGTTCCAGGGAAAAGACTTTATGGGTGGGAAAAGGAAGAAGAGTGATCCACAGTTTTGGAACTGCTGATAAACTGGAAGGGGAAGGGTGGAGCTGAGGTGCAGAGTGAACCTCAGGGAGTGAAGTTTTATAAATCCTTRGAATGCCTGGGCAACATTAGAATCAAGGTAAGATTTTAGCTCAAACGAGTTTTACTACAAAAACTTGAAGAATGGGAATTTAGAGATCCATGAGAATTTCAAGATCTCCCAAGAAGGTGATGGACTACGGCTCCAACTATACCACATTTTTCCCTAATCWGGTCTCACTTGGGGCACTGTGTCCTATGCCAACAGCAGGCAACCTCTGCTCTTTTCTTCAAACTCAAGTGCATTTGGGGCTACAACACACACAGCTGAATAGACAAGGAATGACATTGGCATACTCCAGTCCAGTGTAAGAGAGCATTATGCACAAAAAAATGGTTAAACATCCACCCCGATGACAAATCTTAAAATCTCATCTCTCAGCATTATTTGCATGCCTGATGTTCGGACTGTCTTTATTATCCGGTGACTTTCTGACCAAGCTACTAAGTCAAAGCAACAGGAAGAGTTAATATCATTAACTTGAATTTCTTGGCTTACGATGTTTTCAGGCAATTTTTAAAGGAAAATTCTTGTGTGGAAAAACTAAGAAGTTTTATTGGCACAGACATGAAATGGACGAGTACATATATTAAGAGGATTAATTACACCCAGATTTATGCACATACTCATTATCATCAGCGCACAGAGATGTTTCCAAAATTAACAAAAGGAAGGATTAGGCTTTTGAGGCAGTGGGAAGTCAAACAATCAAGGAGACTAAACTTCTCAAACAATCTTAATGAACCATGTCTGAGCAGAAGGCTGCTTACCTTCCACGCAAGAGGGCTGAGCCCTTGTGGTACCAGCCACCTGCCCTGGGAAGCAGGAGCACTTGACTGTTTGCGACCGTTCTTCGATCCGGTTCTTATTGCAGCAACGATGCACTGCCACAACTTCACATGTCCCCTGCTTGACTTGGTGCTGGCCTAAAAATTGCAGAGAAAAGTTTTAGAGAGCAAAACAAGACAAAATCAGTGCATTAAGAAAATGCTTACAAAAAAAAAAAAAAGCAGTGCATGCTTACAAAAGACTATCTTACTGAAGTAATCATTGAGATTACTGCATTTTTGGAGCAAGAAATTTCACAAGTTTATTAAGTGAGAATTCTCAATCTCCTATAGATTTAGCACAGCAATTCAGGCTTCTAAGTAAGTGTTTCAAAAAACAGAGAGTATTACCACATATATGATTTTTTTAAGGGTTGACTTGGTAACATTCCTTTGCTGCATGTGTTTTGGTTTCAAAAAGACTTCAAACACAGCTGGAGAGTTGCCTGACTTTTGTTGCCAGGTTTATATGCACAACCACCTCAATGGACAGAAAAATATGTATATACAATCTTGGAAAGCGTATTTAGTCTTCCATGTGTGCACTCAAAATGTAAAGAGAAATTATATATTCAGAGGTATGCTTTTTTCCCTGAGGAAAAAGGCTATATGGTATTTTTAAGAAAAATATGCTGTAACAGGAAAACRCATAATGTATTTTACAGAAAGTTTGAAAAATGTTGAAGACAGCATAAAAGTATCTTACATAGTTGTATTAAGTTTATTGTTACACCGAATTTTCATGCAAGAATCTATTACCTATATCACAACAACATAAAAAAGTAAAAACTGCAACCAACTTGTAGGACAGCTTCTTTTTAAGTTAATATGAGGAACAAACATACAAATAAAGAAAAAAATTGGTCATGCTATTTTATTCTAAAGTATTATTTTAGGAAATACCTTTGCATGACATTTTTTGTAGATAATAGATAGATAGGCTGAGGTTCTGAAAGAAAATATTTTTAAATTATGTTTTTAGTTTAAGAGAGCATTTATTTGATTATGGATCAAAGGTCTAAGTGAAGACCCCTTGAAATAAATGGAAAAACCTGCATCTGTTTCCTAAAGTGCTTATAGTGGTGGTCCTGCACTCAACTGAGTCAACAACAAAGGTCCTATTGACTTCACTAGAGCAAGGTAGTATTCTAGATCATCTCTTGAGGAAAATATTCTATAATGAAGTGAAGAAAAGGCAAACATTTGGAGTTCCATAAGTTGAAACCACAGTGTGCTATGTACCACATATGAAAGACCAAGCAGTCAGGTCTTACTTTATAATTAAAGTCATAATTCACCAGACTTTAGATGCCRATATAAGAGTGGAAGACACTTTGTTGGGAGGTATAAATCCTGTTGGATGGACTTCTTAAGGATGGACTAGGTCCAGTTCAAGCAATCAATATGTACCTCGTACAACCAGGGTCAATATGGACAAACAAATGTCTATTACCAAGCTCAAATCCTCCTGCCTTTAGGTAAAAAGTCCTGCAAGTCAACACCAATATAAATGAAGTACGGTCCRGCCATGAGCCTGAAAAACACGTCTGCTTTCAATTGACCTGTCTGAATTTTAAAGTAGTGCTACTGCTCCGCTAAAGTGCCAGGAATCCACAGGCACACAGATGTTGCAGAAGGCCAGGTTAAAGTTACATCTTGGATGGGTCCTTTCCTTTAGTGTCTTTATATTACTGTAGGCTCTTACGCACTTCCCAAGGAGGCAAGACCTTCTCTCTGCCTGCTGTAAGCTCTGGAGTGCTAATTCTATATGGAGACACTGCTGCAATGGAAGAGGGCTCTCCTCATTTGTTCCCAGTGTGCTAATCTCACCAACATTGGAATAACACTGTGAAAGGTACTAAAAAGGCAAAGACATCCACATGCATCCTTTGCAATTAACTGCCCTTATTAGAGTCTGTCTCCTCCCACACACTCACATCTGCATTTCTATTGCTTATTCATGCACATCTTTACACTTATTCTGTTGAACACATACATTTTCTCATAGTATTCTAGTAATCTAGAGCACAAGTCTTGCAGCCACAATTTGCAGAATGGGTTTCAAAGTTAACAAAACACATACAATATCTTAAAAACTCAACCAGMAACACAGATTATTCCCTCCTAGATTTACTGATCATATCTACATTCAGATGCCAAAAYGCAGGAAAAGAAGGAACATAAGAATACCCTCCTACACATTTTAATCTCCACTCTGCACTAGATAAMAAACCATCCCTTCAGGCTTAAAGCATACTTAAAGCTGAGAACATAAAGACAGAAAAACTCATGATCAGACTTAAAATATTTTAGAAACAATGGACTTTAAGGAAATCTGATCATTGGAGAAGCAGGAACCAAAGGATTTCAAAGTGTGAAGCTCACAGCGAGTGAATTCTACGCCAGACACATCAGAAAAGCCATTTCAGGGAGAACTGCAGTGAGAGAGAGTTAGAAAGCCAGGCTCAGGAGAGCAAAGCCCCTTTGGGCTCACTTATAGGAAAAACATAAATTCGCACCTCTTCACCTGTAAACCTGTTCAGATCCACAGCCTATAGGCTGACAATATTTACAGTTGAAATTCAGCTACATCTTCCCATTTAAATAAGAAAACTCTCCAAGGAGAGATACATTTTGATCAGCATCAGTACCAGGGAGAGGTTCTTGTCATGGCTCACCCTCTGCATGCCTAATAGGGGACATCTCCCAGCCAGAGGCAGGAGGGGAGAGAAAGCTGTGGGTGACTTCTGTTCGCAAGCACAGCACATGTTCTGTCCTCATTGTCCCAGTTTATTTACAGCTTAGCTTCCTTAAAAATACCACTGCCTCTCCAGTCATCTAAAGGCAACTTTTCTATCTAGGTCTCTGTACAAGACATAAGACATAGCAGGAGAGGGGCTACTAATGGTAGCAATGCCCAGGCCATGTCCTGCTTCCAGCAGGGCAGATATGAGCAATAAGGACTTTCAGGTGCCCAAGTCCAGAGCCTTGCCACAGGAAGGCTCTGTGACGATTTCTTTGTTTTCCGTGGTCCTTCTGACCCAAAATAAGGTGGAGTAAGTAGAGCTTCTAGGCAGCCTTTACAGTTTGATTCTCAGAGAAGGCAGTGATCATTTTTGAAGATGTCTAAGTACAAGCTAGGAAGTGATTAGGCCTTACAAGTCACCATGAGTGAGTGGAGTTGACTCTCCATTGAACTGTTTATTCTAAGTATATTTTTTTCAATGATTTTCCAGAAAAATATTAGACAGGACWGTTTTTACTTGCAGATATGCAACGAATACTTGTAAAACTCTTTTGAAATCCTCAAATAAAAAGAGATAAATACAATTATTATTAATAAAATATCAGACAGATCACACTGATGTACTTCAAAAATACAAGAAAAATGTTAAAGATAGAGGGAGGCTCCCAGAAGCTTGAGAGCCAGTTCTGTCCACAATCATTTCATCTCAGTGACTAATTCCAATCACTTCCAAGGAGCAGTCTCTCAAAGCAATATACATAGAGGCAGCATGCCTTTATCAGAAAACCTTAATCCTGGATATATTCCTCTTTTTCTAATTTCTTAGATAAGAAACATATGGAAAAGCCACAAGTAGAGGGAGTTTTTAATCTGTTTCATAATCTAATCTCTTTGATGAAGAAAGCAACTAGCACTGCTAGAACAGTGTATCTAAACAGTGGAACAATATGACCCTTGCTCAGTACGTTCTTCAGTGAACCTCAAAACCAGCAAGCTTGGTCTGTAAAAAATCAACTGCATCATTTATTTATAGTGTAAGAGAATGTCTGTCAATAAAAGATGAATGGCTATGGAGGCTAGCATCACACACAACAGTATGGGAAGCAAGAGAGCTCAGAAGTCAGATGAGATGCTGCTTGGAAGAAGAAAACACTCGAAAAAGGTTGGTGTCAGTTTAGCATCTATTCGGCTTTCATCTCACACCATCTTTTGTTTGCACATACACGAGCACACAAAAGCATATGCAAAGAGGAAAACATTCCTAGAAACACATACATATATTAAAGAAAATAAGAAACACTGTTTTTCACATTTTGCTATCAAATATTTTTTTAAAATGAAAACTTTTCAGTTTATGGGATGTAGACTCCTTTGTGAGGATGACAGTTGCTTTCTGCAGAAAGAGCTGGAAGTCACTTACAGATGAAGTCCACACACCATCTTCTAAACTGAATATATTCAGCAAAAACTACCATTCCATTATCCATTTTTTTTTAATAATCACTTCACATTCATTTCAAGGTCCTGACTTAGATTCTCTCATTTCTCAAGAAGACACAATACTGATACATATGCTTTCTCACAAATTGTTTCTGAAGGTACATTTCAGTCCAGTTTCACTGGCAGTGAATTCCTATTTTATTTCTTGGCAGTAAGGAACTCTTCAGAGATAGTCCAGAACTGCCAAGACGACTCATTTGGCTGCTCTCTGGATACATAGATAAGAAGGATCTTCCCATAACCATCTGCCCATAACATTTGGCAAAGTAAGACATAGTGGAAGAAAAAAAAAAAAAAAGGAAGGGGGGGAAGGAAAAGAGAATAAAGAATCCACTTTACATCCATTTACCTGGCATTTCTCAAACACATAGCAGCATTGTGATTACTAAAACTAGTACCTACAATAAAGCAAGTAAGCAAAGATATAATGATATCTCATGTTAAATAATTGATTTTGATGCTCATGTAACATGCAACTTCCCAACCAAAGAGTTTCCTTAGAGTCCACAACATCACATACCTTGTTCCTGCGAAGGCAGTAGTATTTCAGATTATGGAATTCGGGAGTACAATAGAGGCAGAATCCTACTCTGCACTGTAGCTGCATAACCAGAACGGGGGTGAACCATTTAGCTTGTTTTAAGCAATTTTGTTTTGTGACAACTGGAGGAAAACAACAACATTGAAACAAGCCACCAATCTGAAAGGAACCCTAGGTGTATAGAAGATCCAGATGYGTATTTGAAAGGAAGGCGAGTGACCTCAAGCCCTCATAATGAGAGACCTAAAGAGTTAACAAAATGGGAAGGATAACCTTTTATATGTGCAGGTAGAGGAACATGCTGACACAGCT